AAAGAAAGATACTATGTGAAATGAAACAGGTACAAAAGACATTGTGAAGTGCTTTTAATACAAATTTAGTGAAATCTTTATTATGGACTTCAACTTTTATGTACCTAGGTCCTCACATTTAACTTGATCCAAACAGGCCGTTACACGAGGGTCATTTATACAACACATTTTGCACATATTGTCTGAGATAATCTTATTTTCTGTAGATTCAGAGTTCACAAATGAGTAATACAACTGGGTTAAAGCATAGAAACACAAATATTGACACAGGAAAACCTGTCACATAGAAAGTCAGAATGCCACTTATGCATCAAAATTGAAAAAGCTTTGAAATGCTTATTTTGACCATATAATGCCAAAATGGGTAATTTTTGCAGAATTTCCATCAAATAAAAGTTTAAATCCTTTAGTTTCATGCTATCTGACAAATTGACACCATTAAATCATTCAGGGAAGTTGCCAAAGTACAGATTCTATATTTACTGATTTCGCCTCTTAGGTCCGAGTACACAGTTATTTCGTAGTGCATTTCTTTTAGACAATAAATGAAAATAAAAAAAATCCCACCTTCGCTTTCTCAATAATATTTTTACAGTGTGTTGTACTACTTTTGGGACAAATTATATCAAAATTATAGAAAACTTCATCGGCTCTAACTCAAAATATGGACAATTCTATGTTAAGGGGGTCTTGAAATCTTTTGACAGCTTCCGAAGTGCTAATTTTTAACCTTTTTCAGCTGGACCAAATCACTACTTTACTTTACAATTCATGACCCAAATTTTTTAAAAGTGTAATTTCATCCCCCTACTTGCTATTTGAGGCATAAAACATGAAGGAATACATTTGGAAGGGGTACTGAAAAAATTGGCAAGCAACACACTGTCCACACTAGGGACTTTATTCGTGGACAACGAAAATCAAAGGACGATAACTGTGTACTCGGACCACATATCAGTATATGCACTCAGGAGATGAATAACACATTTCCAGTACTTAAATAGCCACATAGACCACATCTTTCTTAAAAGTATGGCAAGCGAAGCACTCCAAAGCTTTTTAGAAAGCTAAAACTTGTATTACTTAAGTTTTTCATTCTCTCCCTTGGTTTTATTTGTTTGTCTAATAAAGGCAACAGTAGTATACCGCTATTAAACATTAGCATCAAGGTGAGCACCTGACTTGTATTGAAATAAAGAGAACATTCTCGTAAGGTCTGTTTTTATTGTCATCATTGCACTTCACCGTTTAATCATATTTAAACCGAATTGCCCTAAATGGCACCAAACAATATTTGAGGGTATTATCTTTTTTTCCCAATTGATCGGGCTGATCTTACATTTTAATTTGCATGAGACTTACTTTTTGAAGACATGTGTGATAAAGAAGATTGCCGTTATAAGTACAATTTGTGATTTCTAATCATCTATCAGTGTCAACAAATGGCAATACAAAAGAGCTGAGTGTATTTAATGGGACGAATAGAATAGTTTCAAACTAATAGCAGTTATATGTACTAAAGCTAAAGTATTTTAAAGTATCGGTATGGAACGAAAGATATTTGTATAATTCGGTATTTTATTTATTTGCATTTGTTAAACCTTTAAATTTCCTTTTGTTTCATATATTCATTTAGTAAAATCTTGAAGGAAAATCTTAAAGGGAAATTCCTCCAACTTTTAAAGAAGGAACGAAGTACCATTTGCAATGTATGCTGCCGCTTAAAATCCGTTTTACTATAATATCAACGGCTATGTCTCACTATTTACTTTGCGAATACACATATAGTGTTTGCATATTTTAACCGGACCAAGGACCATTTATACAAATCAGAGAATTTTTAACGTATTCAAACATTTGTACAACAGATTTACCTTGAAATGAGAGTAATAGCAACAAATACAAAAGGTCGAACAAAACACTATTTCAGTGTAAGTGTTGTTCCTGTTGAACATCTTTATACTGAACACTAAATGCAACTCCCCATTTACACAGCAGCGTGGTCATTTCACTATGCCGTATCAATCGTGTGTTTCTATCAATAATTAGATGATGGCAGAAGTCCCAGTTAATTTTTTTTGCAAGCTTTCTATGAGTATTCAGAGCTTGACATTATTTTGTTTTACTGAAGACTGTATTTTGACTGCTAGACGTCGAACTTTGTATTCGATGCATCATTTTTTAAAAGAAGCTTGCATTGCATTTTAACTTCATATTCTGATACAGATAATTTTCACTAAATAATTCAAAATTTGGTAAACGAATCTATCCTTTCGAAATTTGCATTCATAATTCTTACAGACGCCACTACGATCTAGTTGATCGTTATATAATATATGTGTCACAGATGACCACGGATACTTTTCAATTGCCGAAGCAACAATCCGTTCTCATTTCTAACATTTTGACAGAATGAATGTGTTTTATCGACAATGTTTACTTGTAATAATGAATAAAAGAATAAAAGAATGATCTGCTTATCGTTCTGGAGCAACTCAGATTACATCAGGGATTTGGTGACATTCGTGTTAACAAGTCTTCAGTTTTCTGTGTAATGTTTTGTATATTATTTGCACTCTATGATGTAATTCCTACTTTTCTAAATGTTGGAAAATTTAATCTAAAGTTAAAAGTGCAATATCATATTTTTTTTTAATGAGATATAAAAAGTTATGTGGGAATCGAATCTATGGTTTTGAAGCAATATTTTTTTTCAATTGTATTTTGAAAAAACACAATATCCCTTTTTCTGGCGTTAGAACAACACGTTACAATTTACAATTGAATACCTAATTCTAAAATAAAAAAAAAAAAGAATTTGGTCCAACTTTGTTTCATCAAAAACAGTGGCCAACGTAGATATACATATATTTGCACCATATTTGTTAAGTTTGGAGGACGTGTTTTTAAAAAAAACAATCAGCCTTCCCATGGGAACAAACTTTGCTTCTTGTTGAATTGTTCCTTTATTCATATAGGCAGACTTCTTACAGGAACTTCTTTGAAAGAACGAAAAGAAACTAGTATTTTCCTTAAATGATGTCTTTCCACTAAATAATTAAAAGTCGACTATGTTGAACGCATCCATAACATCAAAATTGAAACAAAGGATACCACAAACACAGTTAAATCTGCCTCATATCTTGACTTATATGTGCTTGGCTGGTGATGTTAATTTTATCGTCGCACCCGGTCTCGCTCCTCTTGGAGTTTCTGCGATTCCCTCATTATTTGTTACCTTGATTTTCTCTTCCTAGTCTGCAAATGAAAAATTTAAAGTGCAATTCACGTGAAAGCTCAATTCACGTTAATTTCACGTAAAACATTTCATGGGAATCTCACGTGAAAGCTTGATTCACGTTAATTTTACGTGAAAAATTTCACGTTAATTTCACGTGAATCAGCATTTCACGTGAAGTTCGCGTTAATTTAACGTATAAGCTCGATTAATGTGAAATGTACCTGATTTTTTTAACGTGGAATTCACGTGAACAAAATTTTGCTGTGTATTTACGAGATTGACGCGATTGAGAACACAACTTTACGTCAATAGATATTATTTCAGACTGAATTTTAAATTTCCATTTATATGTATCAACGTTCGAGCAGCGCCTGCATATGAAGTATATATCTCCTAGTTGATACGATATTCCAGAGCTTGCATTTCCGCTCATGATTTCTTTGATAGAGGGTTGCTTCTTACAAGGAAGCTATTGAACTAAGGGTTCCAAGTGGTGAAATTAAAGTCATCTATTCGAAAGTTTCATTGACGCCATTAAGAGTTGGTTGACAGTTATTGAATATATATTTCACATTCCCATCCTCTATTTTCCTCGTAAGTGTTAAAACCGAATTTGTACTTACATGAACAACACGACGGATATGCTCACCCTTCCGGAGCACCAGAGATCAACCCCCGGTTTTTGGTGGGATTTGTGTTTGTAAGAGTTGATTTTCCTCTGGTTGTCATGTTGTTGACAGTTTGTCTTCGACTTATGAGTTTGGATATTCCTTTGGTATCTTCCACCTCTACTTTAGTTTTAGTACATGATACAAAATTTAACATGAGTACTGCAATGACAGTTGCAGTGTATTTTTTGTTTGTGTTTTTACAAAATATTTTGTTTTCCGTCCCTTAAACAAGACATTTGTATTTCGTTGGCATACGTTTTCGTGAAACAAAGAAAGGCCATGTTTTTCAATTTTTTTAAAGCTTGGAAAGCTTAACACGTGTGTCAAGGATAGAAAAGTACGCTCTTCGAGTAAGTAGTTTCACAATTATTTTGAAGCCGGATTTGATTGGTGTTAACATTGATGTTAATAGTTTAGAAAGAGGGTCCATGGAACACTAGGAAGACACAGCAATATAACGTTTTCTGTATGGACAAATATGTACTTTAAGTACCAAATAAAGGGAAAGAAGATCCAGTTGTTTATCTTTGGTTGGAAACTAAAGGAACAAAGAACAGACTTATGATTATTCGGGATTTCCTCTGTGTAAGTATCGTGTAGCTATATGTTGAGTTTCCAAGTGAATTGTCAATACGTAAATCCTTCACCAAGCAGTTTTTGTAATGTATTTCAAACACAAAAACGGTATGGTTCGTGGCTTTATCATATTTATCATTGATGTAGGACAGGTGCTTAGCAGTATTTTGATATTTATTGATCGATATAGCATTTGTATTCATAGAACCATTCAGTTTTTTTATAGTTCTAATTTGTATCAACGACTTCACATGCGGAAGATACCAAGGGAACATTCAACCCTTACAAATCGAGAGAAACTAACACGCAATGACAAAAACAGAAAGCTCACAAAAAAACAAACAATTTCACAAAGGGCTTTCTTGAAATCACGAAACCATCTGCTGACAAATTGACCATACACGCCTAAAATGTGGCCATGTACTGTATATTTACATTAATTTGAAATCCATTTCCCAAATAAAATTGTTGACAAAAATTACGAGGAAGGACATACGCCTTGGTTTTTATATTTCTTATATTTTTGTTCCACATGTAATTGTACTTTTTACACAGTCACAATACTTAATGTGAGTAATTGTGTTATTTGGATCAAAAGAAATGCCAGTGTTGAAAATGCTTGAATTCTGTGGTATTCTGAAATGAGAAGTTATAAACATAAGACGTCGGCTTATTCAATTGAGATGTTCTATTACCGTTTTTTAACAAAACGCTTGTCTCGCGTTCTAAAATTACAAGCCTAATACCAGTTTCTTCAACGAGTTTTATTTACAACCAATGAGTCAAATAACTCAAATAATATTAATGATGTTAATATGAACTTTGTCAAAACATTTAAAAATACTAAAACTATTACAGTACGACAAAATGATAAACCCTTTATGAACAACTTAATTCGAAACAAGATAAGACATTGGAATAGAATTCACCATAAAGCGAAAACTTAAAGTAATCCAGACCATTGGAAAACATTTAGAGAAATTCATATTGAAATTATCAGTTTTGTTTGAATATTAAAGAGGTTACTAGCTTTATTTAATATTTCTCTTTCAGTTAAACAGGTTCCATTGTTGTGGAAAATTGCACATGTTAATCCTATTTTCAAAGGAAAATGTAGTCTTAACTATCGTCCTATTTCTGTTACTAGTGTTGTTTGTAAGATAATGGAAAAGGTTCTTTTTAAACACTTGTATAATTATATGAGGAGTAATAGCCGTTTTTGATAGCCGGAGCACCCACCTGTATTCTTGGGATAAATGGTGAAGAGGTTGAGAAAATAAATAATCACTGTCACCTTGGGATAACATTTTAGTCATCAGCTTCATGGGACACACATATTGATAATATTTATAAAAACGCATGCTCTCGTTTATCTGTACTTCGACAAGTTCAACATTTATTAGACAGGAATTCACTTAAACGTATGTATTATGCTTTTATTAGACCTATATTAGAGTATGGTGATGTTGTTTTGGGCAACTGCTCTCAGCACTAGTCCGAGCTTCCTCTATAAGATTTTGGAATAGTCTTCCTCTGAGTTTACAAAAATCCCCAAGTTTATGTATATTTAGAGGTAGACTAGACAAATTTTATAGGACTGATGAAATATTGAAACCTTTCAATTATGGGATGAGAAAACATAATATTAGTCATTGTCAACTTACAGATAATGCTAGCAACCTAAAATCTCCTTTGTTTAATAAATTTTTATCAGAGAACACTATGTTTTCAAACTGTAATCACCCTGTTGAGGATAACCAGCATTTCTTTTTTTATTTGCACTAAGTATAGTGATGTAAGACAGATCTTACTTGATTCCATTTACTCAATTGTTGATGATAATGTTGACATAAATATTGACTTATTACTTTTTTTACCAGTGGTCACTCCTGTTACGGTTAGTAAACTTTTAAAATCTTTATAAAAATTGAACAGGCATAGATGGATACGTCACAGCCTTGGTGTCGTTTTTAGTATTAATTGCTCATATGCGTTTTATTGGAATCCGACCGTTTTGATCCAAACCATACTCAGTGATGAAACGTTTTGCTAAGTAATTATTTAAGAAATATACAGTAATAAGTAAATAAAATGATTTTTGATGCAGTTACACCAAATTATTCCCTAAAAGGGAACCATTATATTCCGTCTCTGGAACGCAGTGTAAACTTTAGTTTTACGTAAGGACTTATTACACTTTAGCTTTAACACTTCAATTACTCATTTATCATCACATTTCTTACATTAATGTGTGATAGTTACCCCAAAGTATTGATTTATTTAGCCTAAAAAGTAAAAATTTTGAGAGAATGAGAGGAATTAATAAACCAATAGGGACCTTATAATGAAGACAAAGAGGTGCATTAATTGTGCTTATCATCTTAGAGTCATCTGTTGTGTCATAATCAACTGTTTTTATGCAGATGAGATAAATATTTGATCATTTATTGGTTCACAATATATTCTATGCCTTTTTGTGCTTCTTTGTTACATTTGTTTGTTTTTATAGTGATTAAGATGATAACACAATGCTGACTGCTGTACCCCAATTTTTGACATTTTTACCTATTGTGTCTTTTTGTTTTGTTCACGCATCGTTGTCAATATAATGAAATTTGATGCGACTGTCATACAAGTGAGAGGTTTAGCAAGCTATAAAACCAGGTTCAATCCACCATGTTCTACATAAGAAAATTCCTGTACCAAGTCGGGAATATGACAGTTGTTATCCATTCGTTTAATGTGTTTGAGCTTTTGATTTTGCCATTTGATTAGGGACCTTCCTTTTTGAATTTTCCTCGGAGGTCAGTATTTTTGTGATTTTACTATAATGATGCGTGATTTGGATTTGTCGAAAACAATTTGCTCAAATCGCTGTATATGTCTTCTTACATTGTACTAAATTTTTTTCTACTATTGATCTGATTGTGAAACTTGATAGTAAATTTGAAATAAATAGTATTTCAAAGGGAAAAAACCCCATTCAGTTCATTCAACAAAAAGGTGTTCTTTAGATTCTTTAAAATTTAATACCATAATATAGTACGTCACATCCGGTTTCATACAAAAAAGGGTCGAAAAAAAATTCCTTTGAATTTAATAGTTGTAGGAAATTAACCCTGCGAAATTGCAGAAAAAGAATTTCCGATATATTTGAGGTTACGTGGTTACTTAAGCTTATAAAGAGGGAAAACAAGTGTTGCAAATTTGATTGGCTTACTTCCGGTTGTGGTTATTATTTTATATGCAATGAAATGTTATGTGAAATTTTCACTTTAGTACTGAACAGGATAAAACGTTACTCATGCCAGGTATATCTTTATTTGAAACAAAGCTGAATTCTTTATATTTCTTGTTTCAATTCCAATTTAACAAAACTAACAGGGAAAACAATTGTTGTATCCCCTCACAACCTAGCTATAACTCGGGAAATTTTCATAATTTTTCTTCAGGACAGGCAACTTTGATAATTTTTTTATAAACATGTAACAGTGTCCAATTTGTCACAAGTCTTTGAGTAGAAAACGTGGACAATGAAAATGTTCAAATACCAAACCTGCTATTACTGAATTATAGTTAATTTGCAAACGTGACATTGTACACAAACTTTGACCTAGTACGCGGTATGAGTTTGCTAATTGTTGAGGCAATAATTGCGAACTTGTTGTGGTTTAAACATTGTCCTTTTTACGTTGGTTGAATGATTATAGTTGTCTCACTGGTAATTATAGAGTATTCCTTATAAATAAATATATACACATTTTTACTAAAAGTAGGTTCATTCGTTTCCAATTTCAGTGTCAAAACCACAAAATGATAATCTGGAGAAGTGAAATGTAGGATCTAAATTGGTTATACGTACGTCCATGTTTTAAGGAAATCTGTCTCATTTTGACCATTTGGTGCTATATTTCCAACACCTGGTATGAAATACCATGTTTGATTTCCACAAAATCCCTCAGGAGAATTCAAGTCGAGGTCTAAGATAGATAAAGCTATATTCATGTCTTGATCTGACCCAGTCAAATTTACTGTTATATTTGAACCGGACAAAATTGTTACCTGAAATTATCATAAATAGCAGCTTAAAACACCAACAAAATCTATATAAGTATATACTTACAATGTGTATCCTGTATTTAATTAATGTTCATTTTTTAAATTAATAGTTTCTAAATCATGTTACTTGAAAAAAGAAAAAAAATGAAAAACAAGGTCCAAAGGACCAACTGATCAAGTCAATCACTAACAAACCAATTTTGAACTAATCGGTAATTTTGATCTGAGCAGGTCTGAAAAGACTCATAAATAAACTATTAAGTTATGATCAGCCTTCAGTTCATTTGAAGAATTATCCATTGTTAGAAATTCCGTACTGTTAATTCATATGCAATCAAGATATGTTCAATAGCTTTTATTTACATGTACAATAGAGGCGAAAGATACCAAAGTGACATTCAATATCATAAGTCGAAAATAAACTGATAACGACATGGCAAAAAAAGAAAAATACAAAAAGACAAAAAACAGCATTCAAAACACAATATAGAAAAATAAAGACTGAGCAGCACAAAAAACCGGAGATGATCTCAGGTGCTCCGGAAGGGTAAGCAGATCCTGTTCTACACGTGGAACCCATTGTGTACAGTAAACAAAACAACAACATTAAGATGTGTCTCAATAAAAAAAAACTGAACAGTGATTGGCTGCAAGCAAAATGTCTGAAAAGTACTGAATTTACAACAACAAAATATTCTGAGAAATTACTTAAACTTTAAACAAGATTGAAAATGTTTAGTTTCAGACTTTTCAGATGATCGAAATAACCGTTTAGGCTAAAATGCACTCACTAGTAAATAAGGAGGTATGATAATAGCTTATTTTGCCCTAAAATTGCAAAAATAGTTTAAAGACTCTTATTTTATTTATAACATATTAAATTGAATATTGAAATTTCAAAAAATTATAAAAAGCAATTAACAATGCGTGACTTCGTTATAATCTATCAGCATTTTGTTCGTATTTTAGACTTGCGCAATCTATTTAATCATCGAGATGACCTCCGAAGACTGGCAATGATCCTACGACCCGATATAAACATAAATATAAATGTACAGACAGACAAGCACTTCAATCGTATAATGACGATTTTTCTAGGTTCGTTTGATTTCATGTCATAGATTACAAAATTATTAATCATCGTTTTTCCTGGATATGAATGTTTTTTTTATTGGCCGAATCAATCAGCGAAATGGTTCTTTCAGGTGGGTCCCTTTTCACTTTTAATGTTGATATTCTTTACTTTTTAATAACTGAACACGCTTTGCACATGCGTAACATATCTCCAGCTAAGCATTAAATTAAAGGTTGCATGAATACGGATTCAAATGAGATTGAGTTATTGACTTGCAAACCAGTAATACGTTAGTGGTGTTTTTGAGCTTATTTTTTATAAAATTCAACCAAACTGACTGGTATCAATATTCTAGCTAATGCCCCTTTAACATCGTTGTGAAATATATTTTGTAGCAAAATATCGTTTTGGGTACTGATGTTGCTAATATCTTAAATTTAATAACAAGATCTAAAAATGAGGCTATTTTGGCCGTTTTGCTGTATTTCACGAAATGTTAGACCTAATGCTAATATGTAAGTAATTTCTTTGAACAACCGAAGGATGTTATTCAGTAGATTTATGATACTTTTTTATTAACGAATTCAAGGGGTAGAAAAAGGAGCCTTTCCATACCATCTCCTTTTTGTAATATGTTTTGTAAGGTATATATTTGTATTGACCAGTAAACAATCTCAATATTTTTAATTAATTTTAATTCAACTTATTTAGTTATTAAGTTATAATTAGATTTTGTTCAGTTTTATATTTTATTAAATTCAATTTAATATTATTTCATTTAATTTTTTTGTCGTGGTTTTTCAGTTCCATTTTCAGGATGAGATATATCCAAAAGTGCATTTCAATCGCAATATACCTTCTCTTACATAAATGCAGTTTTAAGATTATTTATATTTAAAAGTGTGAACTACTTCATAACAAGTCTATGATAGAAGATTCAATAGAAATGAGCAAAAAAAATTAACAATATTTACCAGACTTGGTTCAAATTATGACACATCAGGTCATGGCTGAATTTTGGCATTCAAAATGTAAACTAAGATTAAATACTTAAAACACACAAAAAAATATTGAAGACAACGATTATTGAATCAAAGTTTGTCACCACGAACATTACATGTCTTCATGCGAGTTTACAAATCTGATCATTTCAAGGTACATTTTTACTAATATCCGTACTTTAATGTCACAGACCGTTTCAGTGTTTAGATAAAAAATATTATTGGAATATAATCGCAACGATATTTCCCTATTTCAAAATGAAATAGTACACCACTGGTAAAATTTACAATTACATGTCCCGAAATGAGGAAGGCATTGAATGCTTAAGTTACGGTTTAACCAACAGTTCATGGTATTTAGTAATGTAATTCGTAAATAAACAGACTTTTCTGTACTATTTTAAAGGAATTGTATATGTGGTTACAGTTGACTGTCGAATATGATCATCAAAAACGTAGAGATGAAATAGCAAACTATGGATTTTCATGAAATTTGATATACCTATCCTTAGAATAGAATAATTACATAACAATTTAAAAAATTGGTACGGAAAAATGAATTTTGAATGATACTCACGAGAAAAAATAAACCGTCTTCAGATTGGTCTATGCTAATGTGATTTTCCGAAGTGTTTGATAAAAACGTTACTTCTGGAATAATTGATGTCGTCTGCCCACATGTATCTATTTGTACGGCGTCGTTTCCTTCACGAACAATTAATGCACAAGTGCATACTTTACTTCCACAAGGTTGTCGCTTCACCTGGACCTGTATATGTAATGATACTTTAAGTGGAAAATTTTAAATAAAAAAAAGAAATGATAGAAGGAAATCACTTACGTTTATAAATATCAATGACTTTTTTCTTAATATACCCGACAAATATCTTTGAACCGAGGTAACTTTTTTCTTTTACTAACTACTTATTGTTTTTTTTTAAAATTAAGTAATGCTATGTAAATATATCGACAAAATAACGGCATTGCTTTGTTTTTCTGTAAAAAATGTTGTTGACATATTCCTAAATTCATTTTTTTCTGTTGATTAGTAAAGAGCAATAATGAGGGAAATTACAAACACACATAATATGTTGAACAGTTTATTAAAACAATTTAGTTTCTACATTATGCAGCTTACGCAGATATTAAAGCCGATACAATTCATCATTTGAAAGGGATATTTTATAGGCAATCTAATTATTTTTAGAACATTTTTTTTTAACTGATTTTTCAAAATGATTTAAAAGATAACTAATCAGTTTAAAAGATAATGTCAGTTCACTGTGTCTAAACTACCCCGGCAAAAAATGTTTGGACTCAATAGTATCTAATATCCGGACCGGTGACGGACCATCAACAAACAAAGAAAAGGTACGATTTCTGTTTACTTATTTGTTGTTTTAATGATATTGAAGAAAATACATACACATATAACTATTTTCGATTGTGAGATGTAATATATTTCTACAATCGTTCTAGATTAATGGAGAAACAAGTAAAAACGCACATAGTAATGGTGAATCAAGTGAACCTTGCCTCGAATTTGTTTAATTTCTCTTTACATTGTGCACATTGTACGGAAAGAAAGGTACAAAAAGAAAGTTATTAACACAGATATTGCAAGACTAGTCACTATGAGCTTCTCCATATTTGTATTTCTGTACATGGAACGAAAAAAATGGGTCATGTCAAAATGGAAGGACCCGGTTTTGTCAATGTGTACGACCCGGTTTCCTCCTAAAATTTCACAAAGCAGACTCGGTTATGTCATAGAAAATAATGCATAATCGCATGACGTAAATTAAAATCTCGCGTTCAACAGGAGTTTGAGGGCTCGTTGGAAAACAATTTCTTTCAGAAGATAACTTATAATCTATTTGAATCCGTACACACTTGAATTCCTGCTTTATTGGAACACAAATAATTTTAATTTTGCTTTCTATAAAAAGAATACTATAACGGGGAAATACATAGAAATGAAGGTTTTGTAACGTAATTTTTTTTTTTTATATCAATTATGTAAATTTAAGTGTTCAACTTGGATGGTGTATGGTCTTGAAAATTGAAGGACGCACATTTGATATGTGATTTTCTGGGACAACAGGATGGTTATCTTAATAAATATTCCACTCTACCTAGGGGGAGGGGGCGGGTAGTATGATCGTTTGAAAATAAATATTCTGAACACTAAATGTTCATTATAAAGCAAGAGAATAAGACAAATGTATATGCATGCAGAATCGCCCTAGAAAATTCCAATATACCGAGTGGAAATTTTTTTTGGACGATTTTATCCTAAAAAATCATATATAAAACACGATATGATAATTATTTCTAGCCGTCATAAAAGGGGGCGTACTCCCTCTACAACCCCTGGATCCGCCACTGATATAATATAACTATATTGTATACCATCATAAAATTTATTAAAAAAACCAATAAACAGAGACATCCGCCAACTTTTAGTGCCAATCGCGCATTTACTATACAGGCTCTGTAATCAAATGAGTTAAGCCTTTTCAAATGATTTGGGGGGGGGAGGGGGGTGTGTGACCTAACACGTTCAACCCCGCCATTCTGTATGTGCCAGTACCGAATCCAGGAGCCTGTCATTCAGTGGTTGTCTTTTGTTGCATTATATCATATTTATTTTCGTTTTTTGTTTTGTACATAAATCAGGTCGTTAGTTTTCTCTTTTGAATTTTTTTTACATTTTTCATTTCGGGGCCTTTTATAACTTGCTATGCCGTATGGGTGTTTTTGTTTGTTGGATGCCATCCGGTGACCTATATTTGCTAACTTTTACGTCATTTGGTCTCTGATGGAAAGTTGTGTCATTGGCTAAATGGCCACTTAGGTTGTTCTAAATAAGACGTAGATATTGGGACTTTATTATGTTGCAAACCAACTTTTTTTTCAGAAATAATTCTTTCATGCCATGCTCTATGCTCATTTTAACATGAGTAGGCATTATATTTGTTAATGTCTTTAGACCAAGCGTTAGCGAGGTATGAAATGTTGACAAATGTAATGCCTACCCATGTTAAAATGAGCATAGAGGATGGCATGATAGAATTATTTCGATTCAAATAGGAAAGTTTAGAATGGGTGTACTTCGACCTAAAATACGCGTTCGAAAGGCAACCATTTTGATTTGAGGTATCCAAAACGTTCAAGAAAATCAACCGTTTCACGAAAAAAAATTAACAGATACATGTAAACTTACTTTCAGAATGATTTTATTTAATTTACTAGCGACCAACACCAACACAAATGTCCATTTTGATCTCCGGTGTAGTTCAAAATACAAATGGCGTTGCAATTGCAATTGTGACGTCAATCACGTGCAGACCATGTACTATTAGAATTAGAACATAGCTTTGTTTCCAAAGCGAAAGAAGAACGTCATATTAGAATCACATTGAAATTACATAGTTGTAATATATATTTATTTCAAATATTAACTTGAAGTTTCCTTGGAACTTGAACTGTGAATTTGAAATGGAAAACATGCTTTAAAAGGCCTACAAAATCAAATGTGCATACCTGAAAATAGAGGAAAAGGTGAAATTCCCACAGCTATGTTATGCGCGTGCTCAAGTGTTAAAAAAAACGCATAAAACGAGTAACACAGTATATATATTTAAGATCCATCTATTACATCGGTGATCCGTTTATTTGGCAATCGCCAATGGCAGTCAGCAGGGTTTAAGAACATTTGTTGTTCGACCTGTTAGTTGAATGCGTTTTCTTAAAATATACTTTTTAACTTTTTTGGTCTTTTGGAAAATGTTGTTTGTGCTGTATTTAGACCCCTCTAACAAGAATTTTGTTTTGCATGCACACGTATAAAAATTGCGGTTTTTATCCAACGCAATCATAGGTTTAAATTTAGACTTATTTATATATATATACAAGTCTAAATTGAAAACAACGTTCAAACCTATGATTGCGTTGGATAAAAACCGCAATTTTTATACGTGTGCATGCAAAACAAATTTCTTGGTAGAGGGGTCTAACTACAGCACAAACAACATTTTCCAAAAGACCAAAAAAGTGAAAAAGTATATTTTAACAAAACGCATTTGACTAGCAGGTCGAACAACTGATGTTCTTAAACCCTGCTGACTGCCATTGGCGATTGCCAAATAAACGGATCACCAGATGTAACAAAATGGATCTTATAATAATTGATTACCAAACAGAAAACAATAAACTTGCGGAAAAGATGGTATACATGTTGCGCAAACATGAGGTGCAAAAATTTGTACACAATATCCGGATTTCGACAATTAATGTCTCTTCAATGATGTTAGGAATCGAAACGGTATTTGGAAGGCCATATAATTTACCTCAATTTAGGATAGACTCTTGAATTTTGAAAGAGTCGAAATAAGATGAACGGATCATATAAACCCGAAGGCAAATATAATACAAGCCCAAACGAAAAATTATAAACAAGTCTAAATTGAAAACAACGTTCAAACCTATGATTGCGTTGGATAAAAACCGCAATTTTTATACGTGTGCATGCAAAACAAATTTCTTGGTAGAGGGGTCTAAATACAGCACAAACAACATTTTCCAAAAGACCAAAAAAGTGAAAAAGTATATTTTAACAAAACGCATTTGACTAGCAGGTCGAACAACGGATGTTCTTAAACCCTGCTGGCTGCCATTGGCGATTACCAAATAAACGGATCACCAGATGTAACATAATGGATCTAATAATAATTTATTACCAAACAGAAAACAATAAACTTGCGGAAAAGATATATATATAGTACCAGAAAATTTAGCGGGGTTGCATGCATGATTAATTCGTGCAGAATAGTATAGACAAATAAAGTCTTTTTCTGACTGTCCGTCAATGAATGAATAATTGAGTTAATGATAGTTAATATATTGTAAACTGCAAACTAGCTTTACTCTGTTGATAAATTGATACGGTAACACAATCATACCACATCTTCTTATTTTTACATCATTACATACTAGTATAGAAAACAAACAAACATCAGAGTTAATGTAAGTGCATGCTTTAAAGTATTTATTTCCATGTAAACAAAGTTCGAAGATAAGTGCAATAAGGTATACGTATAGCATTCGAAAAATATCTACTCCCTATTTCGAAAAGTTCCCGTTTAAAATACATTTTAACAAGACAGGTTTGTATTACAATATCATCTATATTACTCATATTGAATTTCTTCCGACGGACAATGTTCAGATCCGTGTTAACGTTGCTTTTCATAAATTTGTGTTTTCAAAACAAAACAAAACCGGGTCCTTATGTAGAAAACAACATTGACAAAACCGGGTCCTTCCATTTTGACATGACCCATTTCTTTCGTTCCATGCACAGAAATACAAATATGGAGAAGCTCATAGTGACTAGTCTTGCAATCTCCGTGTTAATATCTTTCATTTTGTGTCTTTCTTTCCGTACAATGTGCATAAAGTAAAGAGAAACTAAACAAATTCGAGGCAAGGTTCACTCAATTCACCATTTTGATGTGCCTTTTTACTAATTTCTTCATTAATTTAGAACGGTTGTAGAAAATATTACATCTCACAATCGAAAATAGTTATATGTGTATGTATATTCTTCAATATCATTAAAACAACAAATAAGTAAACAGAAATCGTACCTTTTCTCTGTTTGTTGATGGTCCGTCACCGTAACGGATATTAGATACTGTTGAGTCCAAACATTTTTTGCCGGGGTAGTTAAGACACAGTGCAGTTGGTTTGTATTAAAATTTCATAAAACTTTATACTTCATATTTAGTTGAAAATATTGAAAGTTTATTAATATCAATACTAAAACTTCAATTCTAGTCATCACGTGATAGTAACTTTTTCAAAGAAACCATTGAGAAGTTGTAGTTACATTTTACATGTTTTAATTGGGTCCAGCCAGTTCCAAGATTTATCATTAAGTTCCGACTCCGAACAGGTTTTTAATACTATTTTCCGGAATCTGACGTCATGATTTTGTTAAAAGGTAATAAAAAAAAAAAAAAAATAAGGCATATCCTCAGACGTGTTAAAGAAACGTATTGTTGAAATTCTCTAAAAAAAAGTTTAATACTGTTAACATCGAACCGATGAGATAGTGGACAACCTTCAGTGGTAATTTGTAGCACTAATTAGCGATAGAAAATCGTATATGATACTATATAATATTTTTTTATTCTATATTGTAGAACACTTGCCTCAATGGTAGGTGTTGAACCTGTTTTGTAAAGTTCTAGATATGTTGCTTGACTACTATTAAGTGTCCTAGGAAAAAGAAGGAAAGGGACAATCAATTGGATATTTAGTGTTTAAACATTACAAGAAACAATACATGCATTTTCATTTTTTTTTAAATAAGTTTAATTTATCTATTTATATAGTTTTTTTTACTATTGCTTGATTGGTTTCGGGTGCATTATTACTTTTCAATTAAGCTATTTGTTTTATGTAAATAGAGAATATCATATGTCTTTTTCAATATCAAACCTGTATCAACCCGAGATACCAATATAATCCCAAGAGCTTTGCTCGAGGGGTTATATTGGTTGAGGGTTGATACAGAGTGTGATATAGAAAAAGCCATATCATATACACTTTATTATATACCTGTACCTCAAGTACAACTAATTTAGATGGGTTTTTTTTTCACGACACATGACGTAAAACATAAATAATGGGTTTGATAAAGCCCTTGTAACCGTGACTGATATCGATTACGTGACATCATACAGATTAGGGATTTGATAAATCCTTTGTAACCGTGATTTATATCGGTATCATCACGGTTGGCTGATTGAGCATGACTGTCATCAATTGTATTACACATACAGTTTACTTGTACTTACTACTTAGTATATAATAAGGAGAAATATACAAGGGTCAAATCTACGTGATTTTACACTTACATTTTGTTATAACATCCTACAGAAGGATTAAATATATTTGTTTATTGAATAAACTCATCATAGATACCAGGATTGAAATTTTGTATTTGCGCTAAACGCGCGTTTTGTCTACAAAAGCCTCATCAGTGACGCTCGAATAAAAAAAAGTTAAAAAGGCCGAATAAAGTACGAATTTGAAGAGCATTGAGGACCAAAAATTCTTAAAGTTTTGCCAAGTACAGCTAAGGTAATCTATTCCTGAGGTAGAAAAGCATTAGTATTTCAAAAATGTAAAGTTTTGTAAACAGTTAATTTATAATTATGACCATATCAATGATAAATCATGTCAACATAAACACTTTACATATACATTTATTGCGTATGGAATATGTTTCTGGATATACTACCTTCGCCAGGAACGTAATTGTAATGGAAGCAAAACAGTATAATTTAATTACTTACGCATTATAAAAAGTATTTACCATTCCTTCTTTAAGTTCACAGCTATGATAGACATCATGACTGATATTGTACCTCTTGAAAAGATCAAAGATGATATTTATATCAAATACAATATATTTGATACAGAGGGATAATGGAAAATGTTAGTTTTATTCTTTCATATTGTGAATTCAATATTATTCGTGGGATACCTATTTTCTTGCATTTAGTATGTAACGTAGCTATATAGTATTATTCTTAGGTCCATGTTGGTCATATAGCTCCTCACTTGTTTTGGAACTTATACTTTCTTGACTTTCAAATGTTTGGCCTTGAGCGTACCTAATGATAAAGATAAATCCAAAAAATCGCTTCGAACGCATAGAATCATGAAATGTTATTTGCACTTTCTTTTTTATAATTAATGTTCAAATGTGAGCCACGGCTTTACATGTTTACCTTAAAAAGATATCTTGCAACAATATGTCCTATACAAACATGTTTATGTAGGTAAACGATACGCAAGTTTTTCGCTCGCCATCACGAATTTATTGATCTTTACTATGTATCAGTTTCTCAACACGCGATAGATATTTCTATATGGTCTAAGATTTTAAGTTACCAGAGAATGCATCGGATCTGTAAATTTACGGATTGTGTCTTTATTGTGACATGTTGATTGATAAAGATTTTAATAGGAGTAGGTGAATGAATAGTAGAAGAGTCTTATCCAGACGACAGAATAGATTTCGACTTTTGGAGTTGATGCTTAGCTGTTTTGACTTATATAAAAATAATGAGATGTTGTATGATTGCCAATGGGACAACTATCCACGAAAGTTCAAATGAAGTAGTTTATTTTTTCAGAAAAAGGTTACGAGATTTTGACATTGATAAAATACTGTTGACACTTTATTTAAAATGAACGGATATTTATAAGTTGAACTATAAACTAATAAAGGACGACCATTTTTATGGGGGAAGGGGAGTATTCGTGAATGTAGTAATCATGTTCACCTAAGCAAAAACGGATTTTTGATTTTGCATAAAAAATATCTTGCATTTTATAAGGCAGATTTTTCATTTTTATCATGTGGGCAAATTCATTTATTACTAGTTCTAATCTATCAGCCAATAGGTGGCCCTATCCAATGAAGTTGATTCCATTTCTTTCAAACATTTTGCTTCAATCATTTTATACAACAATAAATTCGTATTCGAATGAAACAATAATGGGTTGACTGCAGGCAAAAATATTAATGATAATGATTCAACAGTAGGAATAAATTTCTCAAACTATTAGCTCGACATCATGTAATTTTTTGTAAACTCTGAAAAGGCAGCGTTTTCTGTAGAGATAATTTTAAGATCAAATGAATATAAAATGAGGAGATGTGGTATGATTGCCTATGAGACACCAACCATGAGAGACCAATTGAAATGATGTAGATGTAAGCAACTAAAGGTCACTTTAAATATATGTTCCAAGCTAACATGCGTAGCTTACCCCCAGCGAAGGCCAGGAATATATACATTACTGTGCAATCATTTATTTCCGTGGGTGGTGTTGGCTTGGATTAAGAAAAAATACATTTCCGTGGATAGTTGATTTCGTGGTTTTATAAAATTTGAAAATTTTACAAAAAGAAAAACGCCTATGGAAAATTTGTATTTTGTTACCTTCAAATTCGTGGTTTACCTGTACCAATTCAATCCACGAAAATTGGTAACCTACGCATAGTAATGAATCCACAGTATATGCAGTTATTATTCTTACAAAATCTGCGTTCGATCCGGTTTTTTTGTATTCTTGTATTTGATTATAATATTTTTGAACTGCACATATAATGCATCATTAGCTCGGCATCTTGTTATTTTAGTATTGATGTTTGTTGGAAACATTCAAAGAAAAAAAAAGTATTAACAAAAATACAGAATTCAAAGGTAAATGCAAAAAGGGGGATGTCCATAAAAAACTGACTAAATCAAACGTTAAACTATATCAAACAACGGAAGGAGTGGAAAACAACTGTCATATTCCTGACTTGGTAGAGGCAACTTCCGAAGAAAATGGTAGGTTTAACCTAGTTGTATAGCTAGCTAAACCTCCCACTTTTCTCACAGTTGTTTATATTTTCGTTATATTGACAAAAATGTTGTTATGTGTTTAGGTAATTATGTGTTTTTTGATATTCCTATAGGAATAAACTATGATCTTCTTTATGTCAACTTATTACTTTACTTCATACAGGAGTATCTGAGGAAATATGAAAAGAAGCAAGCATTATCCTTCAACTTCACGTTCCGCTATATATCTATGTATGATGTCCTTTATGATGTCCTCTCACAATACTATGGTTGATCTTATGTGCTCTTGAAGGATAAGTAGATCTTGCTCACCTAGCGGCACCCGTTGAGTTGCTCGTGGTTGGTTCAAATTCGATCATGAGATTTCTTCAGTGATGTCACAATTGAGAAAGCAAGACGGGATTGGTGTTATCAACATTCGAACTTATCCGTGTTCCGCTGTGCCATAGATATTAACCAACTCGTGATGGCGACCATAAATATTTTGAAGTGATACTGAACTTCAGTTTTTCCACTTTGAACACCTTGTTCAATAGCTTCTTTGTAAGCAGCAACTCTCTTTCAAGGAAATCATAAAAGGAAACGCAAGCTCTGATATATCGTATCAATAAAACTATAGTAAAGCCGATGAAAAAATACACGATTATTTGTGAAACAAGAATTAATAGAATGTATTCTTAAAATGGAACTGTAAAGTAATTAGCTACTCTGTATGCTAACTTAATGACTAAAAATTCGTGATGGTAGAAGTGAACCTTTGGCAGGTTTCTCAATGTTGTCCTTTTACCAAATACACGTTAACTAAAAAGGCAGACCTTATCTTTGCTCTGTTGCTTCTCTGCCGTAAAAAGTAATATTCGTGAAAATTCAGTTAACGAAGTTTGCTCGGTTTTTTTTATATATTCGGTGATTAGAAATGTTTTTCGCAAACTGATAGCAAATAATCTAAAATGTTGATATCCACCTTTCATTCACATGCTCCCATCTTGCATATGCTTGTATTGATTACCATTTCTGCGCTTCATCAAAAATGTGCTTTTGTTGACGCTTTTATATTCCAATAAGATAACAAAAGAAGCATTTAATTCTAATAATTACTTTTTCATTCTATAACCGTGAAATCACGAGTTGTATCAAATCCTTTTCATTTATTTTCCTTTGCATTTTTGTGACGTTATGGAAAGCACGTGCTATCATGAATGTTGCATTTTGTTGGGAAATAAAATCTAATTTTAGAATAAGGTTGTCAGCCTTTCAAACGTACGCATTTTTATGAAACATACATGTTATGTAATAATTCTCTTATAAGCAATCGTTAATAATAAATGATAAAATATTGATCGATGTTTTTATCACATACGAACAAAATCATTTTTATGCATTTTTGTCACTGATGCATAAACGTGCATTGTGTTTGGTTTTATCTCAAGTGTTATTGAATACTTACTCCTATCTGAACAACTGGCAAATTATAGTCCCAAAATGTGTGAAAATTTAAATTCTTCAGTTGTCTAAAAAATACCCTGTCAGAAGTCTGGTAAAAAGAGTGTGGTTTAATATGAATAGGTATAGAACTTGTGTACTTTCCAGTAAACGGGTCCATATTAAAAGTGTAACTACACGTAGTCATATTCTGACCTAAAATGCAAAAGAAAATATTGTAAATTTATAATTTAGAGCTGAGAATATAAAAAAAAAATCATACTCCTCATTTTGTTTTATAATTTTCTGACAATAGCTAGATGTTTTGGTCGTATAAACAATGAAATTGTTAGTATATTGTATTGACCGATTTAGTAAGAGATAAATTGCTAAATCTTTAAATCTTCCCGACAACAGGAAGACACTTGCCGTATTGACGTAGCCTTTACAGGGAAAAATGATACATTTTCCAGGCTTTGGGGTTGGCCTTTCGTGTACCTTAGGCAGCTAAAGGAAGTCAACTTAGGAGCACTGTGATTGGATTTAAGGGTACAATATATTTGTTTTATTTATTTATTAATAACTGCAGTGTGTATATTTACAAAATAAATTTTGAAACCCATTGAAATATTTTCTTGCGAATTATTTGAAAAGGCTTCCAATTTTTTATAAATTTGATGTAACATGACGTTGGGCATGGATACCATAAACAAGATCCGTTCGAAGATGGTCATGATACTATTTGACTTCAATTTCTAAAACAGAATAATAAATTACTTAAACCACACATAACTGTTTTGTCCAGGTTTTTATTATAAAAGGTGGTAAATTTAGAAAATGTTAATATTCTCGCCTGAATACTACCGTTTTCCCTACAGCAAAACGGGAATAGTTATACTTTTAGAGCTGTGTGTTACCAGTGAAGAACAAATTCTGGATTGTCATGCTTTTTCAGCACTAATTCGTTTATCAATGTCGTTGAGTACAGATATACGGTTGTGACAATGACTATTTATAAAATTGATAAATTAATGTTTTGAATCAATGAAAATGTATTAATACATATCACCGAGTTAAGATTTGCTTCTAACTTTCATCTTTCAATTTGGCATGCATTTACCGGAGACATTAAAACAAATCTCGAATTTTTACACACATTGTAACTTGCTCAAACATAGCTTATAGTTACGGAAAATGTTGTGAAACCATGAGAACTTTCTTTAATTTTCCCTTTTTGCGTTCCGGTGATTATTAAACCCATTGTTTTCCTATGTCTATAATGAGAGGGATATCAAGAGTTGCCTCTCGTACACCACGGATTTGACTATGTCATGACAAAAAAATAATTCTGAGTGAATTTTAGTAGCCACCATTGCAGAACGTTTGTGTGATCGTCCAAATATTTTTTAGCTTTATGTTCATCAGATAATAATAAAAAAAAAAACGAAAATCAGTGAAATTTCACCTATATTACGGAATCACAGAACTGTTAATACGATATATTGACTGAAATAAAACAAAAAAACATTAACATAGCTGATAAATGATAAAAAAAATTCTATTTCACCATAGAGTTGAGTGTCGCGCTTCATGTTGTTTTAACATTGCTTTTTTTTAAAAGCGACAGAAATTGTATAGTGAGATGAAAGCAGAATCATCTCACATGAAATTGATTTTAGTTAGTCATATAGATGACATTGGCAAAAGAAAATGTCGATTTCAACGTAGATAGCTTGTAAAATAATAAATCAAATTTCAATGATAATTGTACATATATCAAATGATAATAAATTATTAATATATATTTTTATTAATTTATATCTATATTTACAAGATATATTGTTAACTACTTATTTCAAATGAATAAAATTGCGTTTGCGATTTGTTTAAAAGCATTATCAATTGCACGAAATACACAAACAATACGCAAACAATAGTTTTAATTAATTAAGAAGCCGGAGCTGATAATTCTATAGTTTTATATTGCTTTTATACAGTTTGGGTTTCTTCTATACGAAATGAAAGCATAAGACGGAAGCAATTGATACGTCTTTCAGTCATTAAAAGTTCAGAATTTACATGAATTGAACACCTACTGTAAATATTACAATGTTCACAGTTATAGAAAATAAAAGTACTGTAATCAAAGCCGGCCTTCAAAGTTATTGTGAAACTATCTATTCTTGAGGCGGCGTATATCAGATGTGGATACTACAATTTGACTTTTCTATACTTTACACAGAAATCCCCCTTTACAAACTAATAGGCAAATTGAAAGAGTTGGTCATGCTCTGTTTCATGAAAATAAATGGCCAACGCCGATACAATAATCTTGTCTTAGGTAGGGATAACTCGTACTTTGTAAAACATCACTCTGATTCAAACAAAAAATTCTCTGAAATTGACAATATTAAGATGCTTGCTTTCTTGATTGACAACATATTTGTTACAATTGGAGGGCGTGGTTTTCAACAAACAAGCGGCATTCCCATGGGAACCAGCTGTGCTCCTCTTCTTGTCGACTTGTTCCTTTATTTATATGAGGCTGAATTCATACAGGAGCTTCTTAGAAAGAATAAAAAGAAGCTAGAATTATCCTTTAACTTCATTTTGCGCTATATAGATGATGTCCTCTCACTAAAATAAATAACGTTTGGTGACTATGTTTAACGCATCTATCCCATCGAACTTGAAATAAAGGATACAACAGTTACAGTTAAGTCTGCCTCATATATTGACATACATCTAGACGTTTACAGTGAGGGTCGGTTGAGAACAAAACTATACAAGAGATGGTTTTAATTGTGAACTCTCCATTTCTATGTAGCAACATTCCAGCAGCGCCTGCACATGGAGTATATATCTTTCAGTTTATAATATATTCCAGGTGTAGCGTTTCCTATCATGATTTCCTTGATGGAGGATTGATGCTCATTAGGAAGCTATTAAGCCAAGAGGTTGAAATCATCCCTTCGAAAAATTTTACGGACGGCATCGCGAGTTGGTTGACCATTACGAAATGTCTGTTTCACAGAGGGTGACGCGTATGTTCCAATCGTTGTAACCATAATCCCGCCCTCCTTTTCTCCGAATGTGACCTGCTGGATTAAATTTATCGCGGGTTTGTACTAACCTAACGTGAGCGACACAATGGGTGCCACACGTGAAGCAGGATCTGCTTACCCTTCCAGAGCACCTGAGATCACCCCTGATTTTCGGTAGGGTTCTCGTTGCTCAGTCTTTAGTTTTCTAAGTTGTGTTTTGTATACTGTTGTTTGTCGTTTTGTCTTTTTCTTTTTTTGCCATGGCATTGTTAATTAATTTTCGGCTTATTAGTTTGAATGTCCATTTGGTATCTTTTACCTCTCTTATACAGTTAGATATATATTTGCCAATTGTCACAGATAGAAGGTGGTATTCTATAACACCCAAAATGTAGTCGTAGACATTTATATAAAAACAATAAAGACATAGTAGTCTGTTGTTATTTATGTATTATTGTCATTTTGTTTATTTTCTTTGGTTACATCTTCTGACATCAGACTCGGACTTCTCTTGAACTGAATTTTAATGTGCGTATTGTTATGCGTTTACTTTTCTACATTGGCTAGAGGTATAGGGGGAGGGTTGAGATCTCATAAACATGTTTAACCCCGCCGCATTTTTGCGCCTGTCCCAAGTCAGGAGCCTCTAGCCTTTGTTAGTCTTGTATTATTTTTAATTTTAGTTTCTTGTGTACAATTTGGAGTTTAGTATGGCGTTCATTATCACTGAACTAGTATATATATTTGTTTAGGGGCCAGCTGAAGGACGCCTCCGGGTGCGGGAATTTCTCGCTGCATTGAAGACCTGTTGGTGGCCTTCTGCTGTTGTCTGTTCTGTGGTCGGGTTGTTGTCTCTTTGACACATTCCCCATTTCCATTCTCAATTTTATTAAATATAAAAGTGCTGAATAACCAGGAATGATTCTCAGATTTATAACTTATAACTTTGTATAATTTGTTAATAACTATATGGATACGTGAGCTCATTAATTGATTTAAAATTTATGCAGTCGGGCAACACAAGCAAACATAATGATGTTCATAACCAATATCACTCAAATCGCCAAAAATTGCACAATTTGTCATTTCTATGTCAGATTTACTACCGTCCCGTCGCAATTGGTATTTGGAGACAACCATAGCAAATTGATTATAAATTGGCAACTAGGAAAACAAGTAAGAAACATGTCTGACATTGGCATTGACAATTGTTGCTGATCATATGTCGACTTGTAGATGATTTTTTGTTTCTGTGTTGTTGAGTTGCTGTTATAAGGGCGTTTTTCCTACATCTCTTTAGTTAGTGTGACATTTTTTTAGTGACGAAGTTCAAGATGCTATTATTATTACCTGTGCTCTCTATCTGTAGACCAACGGAAAGTTTTTTTACAGGATCACCACTGATTATTGGTAATGTTGATTCCAGTGTTAAAGTCTGGTTAACAGTATGGGATATTCTCTGTGGTGATATCTGCAGAGATAAACAATCACTTAAATGACGACTTGTTATATTTAAAACATTTAGCTCCGAATTTAGGTTTTTTGTAAAAATAGCCATCCTGTCTTATTACGTTACCTTTAAAAATCGTAATCAATAAAGAGCTAATAAAGATATAATCTGAAATATTTTATTCAGATGTTAATTATTATTTAATTAAACTGTTTATATAATTTTTTATATAAATTTCCAGACCAGCTGGTCTTCTTTTTTCATATTCTCTTCATTTCATACTGACCTTCTTTTTCAATGAAAGCCATTTTTAAATTAATTATTCTCAATACATACCTTTATTCCTACCCAGTAGCCATTACTGTATGAGGCCGGATTGCGTTCGCCAGTACTACAATGTGGTTCAACGCTACATCGGAGCTAAAATATCAATGTTTATCACTTGTTCGTGATATATGTCTATTTATCATATTTCAATGACGATGTTATCTTAAAACTTTTATAATCAATTCAATATTCTAACAAGTTATATATCCGCTTACAACGACTGGCATTCAATGTGTTTAGTCACAGTATACGAGCATATTTGACAGCAAATACCAGTTTACACTAACTGTCGTCCATTAGTCGTGCTATCAACCTAGCTAGGGCTATTGATATCTTTAAATTGATCAATATTTTTGTTTAATGTTTAAGCGAATAAGTTTTTTTAGAGAAGCGTTGATTTTACTTTCAGGAATTTTATAAAAAAAAATTGTTCTTAGGAATAAAGATATGTACACATGTTTTTTTAACGATTGAACGCCAAATCTCTGATTTGTATTTTGAAACTATTCTTTATATATCTTTTATTTATTCTTCATTAGAATTGTGGACAAAGGATGAGGAAGGCAAATTGTCCTTTCGGCCTAGAAATTTGAATTTTTACAAAATCAGGTTATTTCGGTATATGGATAATGCATAAGTAAAAGAAAAATTTCAAACAGTTAGTTCTTTAAAAATCAAATAAAGCATACTTCCAAATCATTTGAACAAAAAAATTAAAATTTTGAACATTTTCACATTTTTACATGAACAGTATTGTTTATACAGAAAAAAACATTGTAATAAATTATTTAGCATATGCTCTTTACTTTTGGGTCAACAAACTCTGTGAACATTGACCAAAAATTAGTTTTTCTTAAAACCTCAGAACTGCATTTAAAATAACGTCATTAATAAAAAACTAACGTTTTTGTTTTTTGTTGTATTATTACAACTTTGAAGCCCGCATTTAGGAAAATCTTAAATTTTATATATATAAGTTTTAATTTCGGTTAAAAATTGTCATTATAAAGCTCTTATCCCCCCCTTGCCTTTGCAATGCACGAGGCACATGTGATTATCTTTTATGCTTTTTATTGACGTTGGGGCTAAACATTTACTCCAAAAGACAGCCACTGATATTACAGTTTGAACGACATGGTATCAAATCAGCGTGTTCGGTACCAACAGTTTATCTGAAACAACTGTAAGCATTTTTTAAGGGTTATGGTGTGCTGTTGGGTGTCATGTCTTATCTATCATTCCTCTATCATAGAGTTAAGTTCAAATCTTGTTATGATTTTTATTGTATGTTTTTAAATGAACCATTTGTCAATTTATCGATCTGGTATAGTCTATGGCGGATTTTAATCTCGTGAATCTTGATTTACTTCGCCAAATGTGCATGTTCCTGTCCAAAGTCGAAAACCTCGTTTTTCTTGTTATTATTCACGTTATCTTGTTGTTATTATCATCTTTAGTAATTGTGTTAATAGAAGTTTTTTTGATAGTCTTTGTTAAAATTTTTAAATCTTCAACACTAGGATTTAGAGATTGATTAACTGTAAAGGCACCTATCCATTTTTGAAGACCGTGTTTGACCTCTAAATGGTCCAGGTTTTTTTTTCTTAATCGTTTCGGAAGCTGTCTGATTGATCTACATCCAACATCTCATTTTATCAGTATACGTTTGTCACATACAAATTGTTCGCATGAAAATGAAATTTATCCTCCGTCTTATTTGAAGAATTCTAAATTAAGGTTTATACCATTTTATTAAGGTTTCCCTGAAGGTTATATGCATCTAAGGTCGTAATGCGTTCGTTTGAAGTTAACCATTTAAATTCGATGTTTCCATTTTTGTTCAGCAGAGGGCGACCATCTACAGTCCAAGTCACTTTATACAGAACGTCAATCCTGGATGTAGAAGTCCCAAATGTGCAGTTAAATTTCACATCTTTATTTTGGTTAATATATGGTTTACTTAGGACTGGATTCCCGCTTAGCTTTACTTTGCAAGCTGGAAAAAAACCAAGTCAGATGCAATATTTTTACAGCAGAAGAGTCAAACAAAACCTTAGAAATAGAATAGAAATAGAAATCAAATTTAAGAATTCAATCAACATTACAAGAATTTATAGAATGATTAAGTTTGTTCCGTTTTATCCATTATGAACAAAAAAGAGAAAAGGCCAAACATATCTATACTATTAAATGAGAAGACCTCATTTTGTGTGTCGCTTCTCTTCCTTCCACAACAAATTAATCATCATGCCTCTGTGTCCTTTAGGTACCATGCATAGTCGCATTTGTCATCCTCGCTTATGATTATTTAGTTTGGGTTATTTTGGGAGGAAAACGAAAATAAAGGCGTCCGGATATTGTTTCCGTCATCGGACGGACTTTTAAGTCATAGACAAGATTTCCGTTTAAGACTGTTTTAAAATTACACATAATTTTCATAAGTACTTGGGGACAGGACAATTATTTTTGCGTTTTTCTGTATACTATGAACATACATATACTATAAATAAAGTTTATTTGCTATTTACTATCAATTCCAAGATTACTATCCACGGTGGTCACTGATATATTATATAGAGACTCTCTGTTTAATAATATATCAGTGACTGCCGTGAATAGTAAACTTTGAATCGATAGTAAATAGCAAATACACTTTATTCATAGTATATGTATGATCATAGTATACAGAAAAACGCGAAAATAATTGAAATTAACAGAAAACAAAAAATAACGGACTTTAGAAAAAAGGGGGAGGGCTAAAAAATATTGTCCTGTCCCCAAGTACCTGTGACTTTTGATGCCTTTCTTGAAATTCTCCAGTCATAAAATCATTTACAAAATTCATCCTACAACAGTTTACATACTTTCAACAACGCTCTAAATGCCCGCGATTTCTCGGGTGTGTTCTAGGTAGCACGGTAGTATTTGCATTCGGAAATTTAGGTTGCTCTTTTGTGTACCCTACCTAAGTCAATGTATTTGAACAGTGTGATTGGACAAAAAATACAGTATCAACTGAACATATTTTCCCAAACTGAGGGATGAATCAGGTGTAGAAAAATATGAAATAATTTTACATACAGGTGATAATGAATTTTTGAGAATTTTTGAGAATTTTGTATTCACTGCATGATAAAAGACCTAAAAGCACTAGTGGCCTTAGGTTTTTAAAGATAGCAAAAAAAGTAAACGGTCATGATACATATTTAAATTCATTTCTGAAAATTATAATGAAAGTACTTCAGTAAACTGTGTACATAGAATTTTGGGCAGTGCTAGAAAGTGGTGAAAAGTTTAAAAAGGCTATCATTATCCCTTATGGGCCAGGAAATACTACCGTGCCACCTTAAGTCATGCTGAATCTAGAAAAATCAATATTGAAATCCAGAAAACAATAGCCGTATGTAATGCGACAGTTGTACGGACCAACGAAATTATACGTAAAAGAAGAGTCAATACAACAAAATGCTTTCGGAAATACGAACTTTCATCCAAGTCATATCAGGATGTTTATCCAGATTTACACTAATACATCAGTCGTATTGCTCATTATGGTAAATTTGTCAAATGTTATAAATGGGTGCATGATAATTGAGAATTGACAAATTAGTTCTTCAAGTTCTTTTATTAATGGTGATTCTTACCGAATTTGGCTCTCTTTTTGGCTTTAGTCAATTGACAATACGACAGATGTATAAATGCAAATCTGGATAAACATCCTGATATCAATCGATCGAATTCCATTAAATTCAGAGACAAAGGTAGAGAAATCATGTGTTTATATCACAACCATTTTGATAGTGACGCTGTCATGTCTCTTAGGGAACCATCCGCTCAATAACCAGTGGCTCTTTTACGCAAAAAAAAAGTCATAAACATATTAGTATAACTCAAGATCAATTTTAATCGTAAGATTTTTTGTGAAAAGAGTCACAACACTTCCATATTGGGTTTCAATATTTTTTTGTTTCGACTGTATCTCATTTATGATTATTCCAGATTCCAGATAAACACGCTTAAATCAACAGAATACGTTAATATTCTCTATCGTATTACAAATATACTTATATATATATATGTTATTAAAAAGGAAAACGTACGTAGATTGTCATTACAGAAATCTGAAGTACAGCATTCTGTGTTGTCATTTAGAAAAGAACATTCCTGAAAATAAAGATGCAATGGAGATGTCGGCTATTTGTAAATAAGGAACGCTTAAAGTTATATGTATTTTATACAATGTTTTTCTTTCAACTTTCAGCGCAGTTGAAGAGAAGTAGATTTTTAAAAATTTGTTTATTTATTCATTTTTATCAGAAAGTTTAAAATCAAGACAAGATATAACCTTACAAAACTTTAATATGCGCGACATATAGGCTCAACACCTTAATTTAAAATAATAAAAGCATTACTGTTTATTTTTTCATTTTTATCGGAAAGATTAAAATCAAGACAAGATCTAGCCTGATATAAAGGATTCCAAAGTTCGAATCATCAAATTATACAAAAAAACTAAGCTTGAAACCACCGAGAGAAATGAAATGAACAACGATCTAAATTAAATAAACCATAGTACAATGTGGTATGATAAATATATACACTAGAGTAACTTTAATATGCGCGATCGTTAGACAAATAGGCTAGCAAAGTTATTTATTTTGTAAAAATTATTTCCGTACTCCATGTATACCTTACAACACAATTATTTTTATTTACCAGTGTGCGTTATTTTATTTGGCGGTTTTTTGTCCAAGGTTATGTTTGTCTTTCTGGTATTGTTTTACATCTAACCCGCTTATTTTATTAGTTTTGTATTAACATTGTGTTATAGATCAGATTTATTCGTTTAGTGTATGTTCACTTGTTTTTGTTAATATGTCTTTTGATTGAGTTAAGCAATTTCAATTGATATTTTACAGTGTGTCTTTCTTTGTTGTGATGTAACACTATTGTTTTAGGTAGAGTAAAGGTTGGCACCTATTGAAACGTTTAAACCCGTCGCATTTGTTTGCACCTGTCCTAAGTCAGGAACCTGTTGTGCAGTGGTTGTCGTTTGTTGATGTTGTTCATAAGTGTTTCTCGTTTCTCGTTTTTTTATATAGATCGGACCGTTGGTTTTCCTGTTTGAATGGTTTTACACTAGTCATTTTTAGGGCCCTTTATAGCTTGCTGTTCGGTGTGAGCCAAGGCTCCATGTTGAAGGCCGTACTTTGACCTATAATTGTTTACTTTTACAAATTGTGACTTGGATGGAGAGTTGTCTCATTGGCACGCATACCACATCTTCTTATATCTATCAACACGTTAGTTTAAAATAATGAAAGCATTATAAATGTTGTATGTGTGCCCAACACAGGGGCGGATTTAACGGGGCAGGGGGCCCGGGCCTCCCATTTTTGGGAAAAATTTGGTTGATTATATAGGGAATCACTGAAGCATGACTGGAGCGGGCCCCCTCTTAGGCAGTCAGTGGGCCCCACTTATGAAAATTACTAGATCCGCCACTGCAACAGACGCGATATAGTTATTATATCAGTCTTTTCAGTGTTTAAAACAATTATTTAAATACGTAAATTTTTAGTTTCTAAAGACGATTATCCCGATAATCAAGTAGACTATGCTATTCCCATTGTAACGCCAGACTGAACACAACTTGAGTATAAAAGCAATTATTAAGTACACTTCTATTTATTTTGTCTAAAGAACAATCAACTCTAGTCTACTGTCAATTTTGTGAGGTTTTTTTATCTGTCGATTTATGTCTTACTAATTTGACATCTCGATTGCATATGTCTGATATTCTTATTTTTCGACACTACATACGTCTTACGGTCATCATCTCGAATTGATCGACCTTTACGATGTTTTTGTGTCTCAACTCACTAGCGACATGTTTTTTTGCAGACTTCGATCTTTTGATTTCAGAATAGTCGTCTAGTTTGTTATTTTACCGATTATGGCATTTTGACTAAGTGTAGATTCGTTTAATGCATGCATAGATGGAGACGCTTTATAATGTCAACTCACACGGTCTCGATCCTTTCATACGATTCCCTCAGTTTTTTTTGTAACCTTGAGTTGTTTTCTTAATCGACTTATGAGAAATGAACATCGGTAAAATACTGTTGCCTATATTTAGTTCGCTGGACCATTTCCTTTGTTTGTTTTTTTTCTTTTCTTTTTAAACCATTTTCTGTAACGTAAAATCTGGATTTAAGGAAATCTAGAAAACTTCCATCTCCGTAAACATATATCGTTGCGCAGCCATGGTGTCTTCGTTGATAATGTTCGAACAAACTGTATTGTCCCAAACGATGATATTTACATAATGCAGCAGTATATCTTAATTCGTCTATTGTTATATCTTGTGCTTATTACACTATATATATTAAAAATCTTACATTGCGTTCTTCACATCCAGAAATGTAATTTGGCCTCTTGGAAAACCTGTTGATGTATTGGGTCACTTTACAAGACTAAAAATGATTTAAAAACTTTAAATGACCAGTGATAATGGTATAAAACAAATCATCTAAGATACCAGGATAACAGTTGGTACACAAGATGAGCGTTTCGTCTAAAACGACTCATCAGTGGCGCTCGAATCAAAATAGTTGGAAGGCCAAATCAATCATAAAATTGAAGAGCCCGAAAAACCGAATATTCTAAATAGTTATGCCAAAAACAGCTGTTTCATTATATGCGTGTGTGTAAAAAATCTTAGTGCCTCAAGTATTTGAACTCAGCGAAAATTTTTGTTTGATAACTCATAGAAAATTCTTACCTTAAAAACCTGAATAAGTATGTATTTATTTATGATTAAGGCTAGGACTTATCCATTCCAAATTGAAATCGATGAAATATTGACAAAGTACAGGAATTAACAATATTTTTGGATTCAAATTTAGTAAGAACCGGAAATTGTCCTTTCCTTGTCCTTGCCATTGATAAATACGCATTCTTAACTGCAGTATATCAAATCCTTAGATTTAAGAGTTGTAGAACACAAGTTCTGTAAAACAAATGTTTAAAGATGAGATTGTACCGAAAATATCAAAGCTTCTATAAAAACTAGAGAGCACGGCTTCATAAACCTTATGATACACTAATCAATATTTTAACGTTTCACACTAAGGAAATATTCATTCCAGATGTGAATCGATACATAATTGAAATAGTACAGGATTTAAAAAGATTTTTTTTGTATTTGCACTGTCCCTCCATTACCATAGATAAATACGCATGCTCAACCCATAGATAGGTTTATACATCTAGTTTAACAACAGTATATCAAAAAATAAGATTTTAAAGAGTTTTAGAACACAAGTTGTGTAAAACAGTTTTTTTCATAAATGAGATTTGTAACAAAAATGTTAAAGCTTTTCCTGAAATATCAACATGACAATGTAACTATATAGAGTAAGTAATTTTTATTCTGGTATATTACAAGAACCATGTAAAACATCTGTTCACGGACTTATTCTTACAATCCTCATTTCACGTAATAGTTAACAGTGGGTGTTGTTGTAAATGGTATGACGTCAGTACAATCGAATTGAAAACGAAATGAAGAATATTAGTGGTAACGATTTGTATTCAAGAAGAACCTTTGGCAATGTTGTAAGAAAAATGACAAATGAAGAACAGGACAATCTTTAATTACATACCTGACCTTGACCGCATAAGGTTATTTGGTTACACTTTTCCGGAAGTTCCACTTGTGGGCAATGAAAACAAATATGGCCGCCGTATTTATTTGGGGCTGTATGAATAAATTGAATGAAAGTATGTAAAGCATGTCAACGGAACTGTGCAGTTTATGATATCTATGAAATATTAAGAAAAAGTTTTGAAAATTATAAACGTAAGTAAAATATACCGAACTCCAAGGTAAATTAAAAAAGGGGAAGACCATAAAAACTGACAAAATCAAACGTTATCAACCAACAGAACGAGTGGAAAACCACTGTCATATTCTTGACTTGGTACATGCATTTTCGTTGGTTGATATGGTCGATCGTTTGATTTTTTCAGGTTTTTATGGACTTCCCTTTCTTTTTATTTACCCTGGAGTTCTTTACTTTTGTTAATACTTTTTTCGTACAAATATACGTATTCAGTAGGTTTGCAACTACATTTTAATTCCTTTTGATTATCATATATAATATGGTAATACGCTTTTATTACTATTTGGTCTTTCCACTTTTCCAGTAGATATATTATTATTCTTTGGTAATTTTCCCCTTTTTTCCATCTAAAAAAGTGGATGTGGTGCAATAATTTCCAATGCGACTACTATCCACAAGAGTTCAAATGAAGTGGATGTAAGCTATTATAGGCAACAGAACAGAAAAATATCGCTAAAATGACAACACTACGTGACAGAAATACAGCACAAACACTCATCACAGAGAAACGTATAAACAAATAATATAATAAAAGCTACCTTATTAAGTACACTTCTATTTATTTTGTCTAAAGAACAATCAACTTTAGTCTACTGTCAATTGTGTGAGGTTTTTTTATCTGTCGATTTGTGTCTTACTAATTTGACATCTCGATTGCATATGTCTGATATTCTTATATTTCGACACTACATACGTCTTACAGTAACCATCTCGAATTGATCGACCATTACGATGTTTTTGTGTTTCAACTCACTAGCGACATGGTTTTTTTTTTTGCAATCTTCGGTCTTTTGATTTCAGAATAGTCGTCTAGTTTGTTATTTTACCGATTGTGGCATTTTGATTGAGTGTAGATTCGTTTAATGAAGGCATAGATAGAGACGCTTTATAATGTCAACTCACACTGTCTCGATCCTTTCATACGATTCCCTCAGGTTTTTTTGTAACCTTCAGTTGTTTTCTTAATCGACTTATGAGAAATGAACATCGGTAAAATACTGTTGCCTATATTTAGTTCGTCTGTTAACCTCTCCAATGAAACTACATTTTAATTCCTTTTGATTATCCTATATAATATGGTTATATGCTTTTATTACTATTTGGTCTTTCCACTTTTCTAGTAGATCTATTATTATTCATTGGTAATTTTTCCCTTTTTTCCATCTAAAAAAGTGGATGTGGTGTAATAATTCCCAATGCGACTACTATCCACAAGAGTTCAAATGTAGTGGATGCAAGCAATTATAGGCAACAGAACGGCCTTTAATAATGAGAAAAACCCATACATTATAGTCGGCTATAAAAAGGCCCCGACTTGAAAAATGTGAAAGTCATTAGCCTAATTTTTCCTTCGCAAGATATAGAAGGAATATGCTACATGATATAGGAGAGTTACACTAAAGTGTGCTTTTTGCACTCATTATCTGTTAAAACCCTTTTCCCCAACAGGTTTACCTTCCCTTGCACTCAACAAACCGATTTTTTTTTAAATGTTTATTTGTTTACAGAAATAGCCTAATTATTCACTAAAGGACTGTCTCGTGTGTTTTGTAAATACCTAAGATCTTTGACATCGGACTTCTTGGCTATTTCTTTAAATTGATATTTAGGTTAGTTTCTAAATTATTATTGCTACACTACTCGAATACATCAGAAATAAGTTATATAATAAAATTTGGTTTTTGTAAATTTTGACTTCTGTATCATGCACATTTATCTAATATGTGTTTTACTTGTAAGTCACCTGGTGAACCACACAAATTGTCAACATTGCAGATGTCTTTCCCATTGCAGCAGGCACGGCAAAATGATGTGTCGCCATTGTCGCTTACTTCTTCTACAGGAATATTGTTTCTCAACACAAGGCTTCCGTTACTCCTTTTACCAAAAGCCGAAGCTCCAGAACATTTCTACATGGAGAATAAAGACTTGGTTACTTTATTAACATAATTTTGACAGTATTTATATATGAGCACAGCATACAAAGGATAGGATCTGATATCGAGATAATATTAATCTCTGACAGCATCATACATGTGTGCAAATGAATTAATCTGGCCTTACAAACTAAATATCATAAGCGGGTATCTATGTCTATTTCACGTAAAATTTCTGTTAGAAGAAACAAGAGATCTCGCCTGCTTGTTATGTATTCTTGAGTTCGGGTTAATCAGATTCTTTTATTTCGTTTTGTTATTTAGGCTGGTGACTTGCAATCAGTTAAATATTTTACATGAAATACACATTTAACGTCCCAATTCCGACCGGACTTGGTAGCGTATCTATGTTAACACATCCCACACAGCCAAACAAATGCCCCTCTTTAGTTTGAGTTTTACTGCCGTTTTCGGGAAGTCGAGGAATTACCATAGCTCTAAACCAAAATCAACCCTTAGGGCAGCGATTGTGTTAATCGTAAATAACGTTTCAAGGGTAGTGATATATAATCAATAAAATGAATGAAAACTTACATCGATATCTCTACATCCCAAAGAAAAATATTTATATCCATCAGGTGTAACAAATTTTTCTACAAAGCAATCCTGTAAAATATAATGTACAATGTCATCTGAAATGCAGCTCAATTCATCAATATGACGTGGTTTTGATTCATCTGCTGTATTTATTATTCTTTATCTAGATGTGAATTAACTTTTGGTAGTTATCATGAGTATCTTTAAACGTCACGAGTAGCAATCACTAATGGTCAAATCTCCGTAATTAATTTTCACCACGATAAACAACTTTGTAGCTTTTCAGCATATATTCGCTTTGTCTGTTTTATTTCAGAAATGACCTTGTCTCCAACATTTTTTTTCCCGCTTTCTTTAATCGTTAAAAAATCCCCGGAGTAAACCTGTAACCGTAATGCGCTTTCGCGCCCTATTACCAGCTATCACTACGACAGATACAATAGAATATGTGTTACCGATTGTCATTCTAAACAATTGTTTTTGCTATCGTGTACAGCAGAATGTTAACTCCTAACTACAAAGCTTACTAAATACGGTTTTAGTCCCTTCTGTTTAATATGCTCGAAGACGTAAAACGTTGGTTTTGTTTGTACCTGATTTAGGTTATTTTAGAAACATAGCATGTTATAGGTTCTTACTATCACTGGTTCAGTACTGCTGCTGGTGGAATATCTGTCATCAAGGGTAAAATTCATCTCAGTGGCTAATACTTCGGTATTGGCAGGATTAATAGTATTTATTTTGTTTGTAAATTGTCAGTTCATAAAATTATGCAATTGTTCTAAAACTGAGGTTGCAACTCTATCATGAAAAATAAAGCTAAGACGGTTATGACTTATCTGTTTAAAACATTTTTGATTTCTGATTGATATGCAGTGCTTACGTCATTTAATTATGATACCCAAAGGCATATATATATATATAACAACTCTGGATTGTTACTTACTTCATGGGATCCACATCTCACAACACGTGAACAATCCTGTGGAATGGCTACATGGTCACAATATAAACATAGTTTTTCACCTGCAGCTGACGAAATTAGTGTTACAGTAATAAGAACTATGTCAATCATCCTGAAATAAATGATATCATAAAAGCATAATTTATTCTTATCAAATGAACATAAGTTTTGGAGACAAATCTATCCTCTAAATAGTGTACATTATCTATGGTTTATGCGCCACAATAATCATTATTAATAATTATATTAATAATTGTAATTTAATAAATTCTAAAAAAAAAAGTGAGACGTTATCAAGGAGACGATTGCAAATCATAAGTTGAAAACGACACAGAATGTAAGAACCGAAAGAAAACAGACAGGCAATAGTCTATATATCATTTCTTAGAAAACTAACAGATGAGCAACATGAAGCCATCAAACTTGGTGAATATCGGTCAGCTCAAGATGGCTGTGCCGTTTCTGCTCTACTTTTGACGCCCGTCATGTTCTTCATGACAAGTAAAAATGCTATCATAATTCATTCGCATCTGGTAACAAGTCATTAAATAGGAAAGTTCGATTACGGATATGACATTTTGGCTTAAGTCATCAGTGACACAGATATGCAGAAATGATCTACCAATTGAGGGTGGCGTGCAAAAAGCTTCAGCATTACCATTAAGAATCGTTGGGTCAGTAACTTCCTTGTAAACAGCAACTTCCAATCAAGGATATTCTGATGGCAAATACAAGTTCAAATGCAAAGGATATCATCAGCTCCGTTGTCGGTGCTTCGGTACTGACACAATTTTTAACATACTTTGGAATTAAATTCTCCCATGATAAATTGAGAAATTATAGAAATAACTAAGGTTCCAACTCCATCAGGCAAGGTTGACCATAACTGGAATCGGTTATTCTTAAAGGCCCCTTTTGATAATATCTTCACGCGTTTAGGTAGTTATACACCCTTGACTTTCAATATTTTGGGTATGAGCGTTCCTGATGATAAACCAAGAAAAGCGCTTCGGACGCAACACATCAAAATAGTGTTATTTTCATTTGACTCCACATGCAGGTCCAGTTGGCACATTACTACATAAAAATGTTTCTTCAGTTTAAGGTACAGAAATTTTTATTCAAACCATGACAAATATTTCATTCAGAAAAACACTAGTTCATTATTGAAGAAATAAAGTATCCGAGGTAGTGTTCTGATTTGATAATTATCCTGTCACAATATCAGGGAAGTTGAACCAAGTTTGATATGTATATATACACTTTTAATTTCCTCAGTTCGAATTATTAAAATAAATGTACAAATAAAATGCTGCTTGCCAATTTTTAGTTATACCTGTTTATTTTATAATATGATTATTTCTATGCTTGACAACCAAAGCCAATCAAAATATTTTCGTGCAATAACGAATATAATATACATACTATTACGACATTGATCAACATTAAAATGGAGAGTTTTGAGATTAAAAAAAGATCAAACACCACCACATGTTCGTGTGCCGGTCTCCAATCAGGAAAACTGCTACTGGTTGGCTGTTGTTTGTTTTTTGTTGTTGTGTGTTTTTGTGTTTCCCCCCTTTTAATTATTTGAAAAATTTGATGTTGATGGGCAGATCTGTTTAATTTCTTACAAGTTTTAAGACTCTGGGCGATTACTACGAAAACTAAAGGCTGATGTAAGTTAAGCAATTTAAAGAAAAAAACAATTATAGCATACAACCAACAATAACCACTGGACTAAAAGCTACTTGAGAATGTTTGAGCGCACTAAACCAACCCCCTTACCTGGACAAACTGTAAAAGTTATAAAAAATTAAAACAACTTATAAAATAACAAAGACACGAAGTACCGACAAATTAAGTTCACCTATTCTCTGTGCTGTCATGTAAAAATGTCAAAATAAATACCAATGTAATTATCTTTCATGTAATTTTTTGGCAAAGAGTGTTCATCAAAGATAGTAAACAAAGGATGTTGCATAATGATGTTGTTGCGTGATTTGCTTCTTGACTGAACAATAGAATGTCCTTGTTGGAGTTCAGTCTTGTACATGTATTGATGTAATCTGGTTTTGACATATTATTTAAAAGTTATTTGTGCCAAGGTTATAGTATGATCTCAGTCAAGGATTGCAGAATTACGTTAAAAATAAAGGAAGCCAGAGTTCGGACATTTTAAACATTTAAGTTTATTAAGCAACTTCTAGAGGGCGATCTGTTATTTCATCAGTTTTATCATACAAACTACATTAAAATTCTTAATCAAATGAACGAACACATATATGGGAGAATGAACGCGAGGCAAAACTTAATAACTTTTTTTATTGCTGTTCTTAATCTTAAAGGTCATTCTCACTGGTATGTAATTATTCCAAAGATTCGAGCTGGAGCGCACACAACGAAGTCGATTACACTTCGTCGAGCACATGAAAAAATGTATATGAATAATACACTAATAATGCATAGGTTATCGTAATTAGAAACCATGCAATGTTTTTGTATGTACATGTATTTTAAACAGTATAGCATTCAAGAAGCTAACGTCTCTGTGGAGACGGAATGAGAGCAAACTGAAGCGAATGTGTAAAATAATTACTCAATTTTAACTAAACAAGAATTAATATCGATGATAAATTGTGATTCTGGCAGAAAATTCATAAAGGTTATGATTTTCTTTATTCAATAAATTATTTTTCATCCCACACCCTCTTATGCAAAACAGGACACAGCTTAAAAAGTCAACGAAAAGCTCAGTAGCAGCATGCGGTGTCCACACATATTGTTCAAAACGTCAAGCCGAAAAACAACATTCACAAAAACGATTAAAAGTAATTTCGTAAATTTTGTTACATGCATGAGGAGAAAACTTGTGTTCACGAACCTTATAATACTTACTACATTGTGGAAATATGCATCAAAACTCACTAAAATTATAAGTGATCAAAAAATATGTTTTAGAAGTAATAGCTTCTTATTATGTTTTTATATATAAGTTTTCATGAAACAAGAATATTTTTTAATTCATATTGTATCGTTTGAATAACTAAATGCTCTAAATTGATACGTAACAACGTGCAAATGCATTTGACGTGATCGTCATCGCAAATTAGCATAATAAAACAAATTTCAATGAATTTTATTGCAAATTTAGAAACACATGATTTTTTTGATTATATTGGTACCAAACCAAAACTTGTGGCACCTGATTTGGTATCCCTTGTCATTTGTTTAGTGACACAGTGTACCAAACCAAAACTTGTGGCACCTGATTTGGTATCCCTTGTCATTTGTTTAGTGACACAGTGTACCAAACCAAAACTTGTGGCACCTGATTTGGTATCCATTGTCATTTGTTTAGTGACACAGTGTACCAAACCAAAACTTTTGGCACCTGATTTGGTATCCCTTGTCATTTGTTTAGTGACACAGTGTACCAAACCAAAACTTGTGGCACCTGATTTGGTATCCCTTGTCATTTGTTTAGTGACACAGTGTACCAAACCAAAACTTGTGGCACCTGATTTGGTATCCCTTGTCATTTGTTTAGTGACACAGTGTACCAAACCAAAACTTGTGGCACCTGATTTGATATCCCTTGTCATTTGTTTAGATACACAGTTCTTATTTACCCTGAAGATTATTGACAAAGGGACATTTAGATTGTGTTTGCTTAGCTTTTATCCTTTTGTAATTTATTTCAATTGTAACAGTTTATTTCAAAATAGATGGACGAATGGATAGATGTTTGTCCAGTGGCCAATATAACAAGCATATTGTTAGTTTGATACAAATATAAAAGAAAAACAATGCGTTAAGTAGACCGAAACACAGAGCCGTATCACAACGTGCTACTTCACAAGATAACAGTCCACAGAACGACATGCCACCCTACCTGGAGACAATATTCTGAATCTGATCCGGCAAGGCTTTCCTCTTACTCCTAAATTCTACGATCTCAGAGGAGAAGAAGCAAATACCAATGTTAATCCGGACGGAGACCGAACTAACAACCTCTCGTAAACAAGGCAAAAAGGCTACCACCAGACCACCGAGGCGTTTTTTTAAAGATAGAATGTAGAAATTAAAAGTATTAAAC